GTGATAAACGGTATCCTTGTCTGGTTCCCGTTCTCAAGGGGAATGCTTTCAAAGTCTCTCCATTTAGGATGATGTTGGCTGTTGGCTTTGTATAAATGACCTTAATTATACTGAGGAATTTCCCTTCTCTTCCTATTTTGTTGAGAATTTTTATCATGAGTGAGTGTTGGACTTTGTCAAATGCCTTTTCTGCATCGATCAATAAGACCATGTGGTTCTTATCTTTTGTTTTATTTATGTGGTAGATTACATTGATTGTTTTTCTAAAGTTGAACCATCCCTGCATACCTGGTATAAATCCCACTTGATAATGGTGAATTATTTTTTTGATATGTTGCTGAATACTACTGGCTAGAATTTTGTTGAAAATTACTCATAATTTTAAAAGTAATGCATGTTCACTTACAGAAAATACAGATAAGCAAAATCTAGAAAATACTCATGATCACCCCCTCTCTGAGATGGACACTTTGGTACTTTGGTAGAGACTACAAACACTGTGTTCATAAAACACATTTAACATAAACAATCTCACAGAGTACACCATGTTCTGAGACACACTTCTTTTACTCAATAATATGTTGTATAAAATTGGGATTCAGGTTTGTGTTGGACTCTATACACTTAACACTATGACATACGGCTTAAACTATTCTTTATATTTTGTCTTTTCTAATCTTTTTCTACAAATATGTATTACTTCTATAATCATAAAACAAATGCAGGTTTCAAAACAGCATAAACTGCTTTTTCTAAGTGTCTGCTGCCATACCTGGCTCTTCAGCTTTTCCAGCTCTGCTCTCTTGGCCTGAAGGAGGGTCTCAGACTCTTGAAGGACCTGCAGGTGGTGATCCTCATTGCATTCTGCGGTCTCGACGTCTTTTTGCAGTTTCTGAAGCCTGCAAAGCACAAGCAGTACTAAGACGGGACCCTAAGAGCTGTCTTCTAATAAAACCCTTGAAGCCCTACAAGAGGCCTTACTTACTCTTCTGTCAGTGTTTCCTTCTTCTTATTTAAACACTGGAAGTCAGAGTCTTTTGCTGCTATAACTTTATTTATTTCTTTCAAGATTTCTTCTTGCTCGATTTTGTGCTGCTCCAAATCCTTTGCTTCAGCCTGGAGCAATCTAAAACACATCACTTTATTTGACCCCCACCCCCATCACTAGACTTAACATCGTGCTATTTATCATAAAGCAATTATCATCCTCTTAGAATCAAGCCTTCCATTCATCTCGACAGGCACCTCAGTGGTTAAGGGGATCCACGTACCTTAGCTGCTGATCAGCTTTGACAAGGTTAATAGCAGTTTCCTGAGCTCTCCTTTCTAATTCTTCAGCATCTGACTCAGTTTGCAATAAATTTCTCTTGGCATCAGTGAACTTCTCAACAGCATTTTTTGTCTACAAAAGAAACTGTCATTAAAAGCAATTCATTTACAATATTTGCTCACAGCTACTGGTAATGCAAACTCTTTCGGGAAACAAAAGGCAACACAGAAATACTTATAAAAATGTCCATCCACTTTAACTCTTTAATCCTTATAAAATAATTCAGAAGCAAAGAACTACTGCACAAAAATGCTCATTATATAATGAAATAATATAAAACTTGACAAATAATAGATTCAATAAGTGATAATGCATAAACACAACAGAATACTGTGTAGCCTTTAAAATGACAGGATGGCAATGTAGTAATATGGAAGAATGTCCATGATATTATGTTGGCTGAAAAATATAAACGTAAAATGGTACAAGCACTATGAGAGCAACTATGCAAAACTGTATCTGTGTCAACAAAGACAGAAAGGCTAAATATACACACAAAAATAGTCATCTGAGGATGGTGACAGTACATGACCTTTTTTATTTCAAAATAATCTGTAATATTATGTCATTTTCTTCAATTTAAAAAATCTACCCAATTAAGTGGCAGTGATTTTTACCAAAACTCCCTCCACACAAAGACTCTTGCTTTACCCTAGATATTACCAAGATAAGTAAAAGCTCATTAACCTGAGGATGACTGGTTAGGAAACACAGATATTAAATACTCTGTAAGTTTGAAAACTGCTTTCTATATAAGATTTGGCAAAAACAGTATTTTTTTTTTTAATATCAACTTCAGTTTCTTTTTCTGCCTAAAACAAGAGGCTTAAAACAATGTCAACAAGAGGTCCTTAAATACAGCATGGTTTGTACTTGGTTGAGCAACGACTCACCTTCAGCCAATAAACTCAAGCTTTGCAGCTGCACTAAAGTCAGAGGCATCTGTATGGTAAACTTGTCTATTAAATATCCCCTGTGGATGTAAAAGAGTCGGCAAGCTCTGAAAGAGCTACAGAGTTCACCATATCTCCTTCCATGGTTGTCAGTTCCGTTAGCAAAGCATTAAACAACCCTTACTGTGCACTCCAGAAGGCCACACTTCTAAGTAGGTTTTGTCTCCTCTGTCAGGTTTTAGCATGTCTGACACATTCCTTTTACAGCTACTTCCTCCCTCCTCTTCCCTACCAGACTGCCTCCCTAAGTCATTTTGGGAGGATGGAGGGAAAGAGCTTATCAGCCTTGTTTCAGTTACTACCTCTGCCTCCTATTGGTATCATCAATTTTTTTATATATATCAGTGATACATTTTTCTCCTTCTCACAGCTATTTTCTCTCACAGTAATCTAACATGTGACAGTAGAAGGAATTCATCGTCTGAAAAACTGTGTGGATGTTTTTCCATTCTTATTAAAGCTATCGCTCATAGAATTTCTTTAATAACTTTAGTCATTCATTTCAGTCCCTGGGTAATAGATTTTTATTAATTCAAATAGATTCATGTTGAAACAACAATATAAAAGTAGTAGCTCCTGAAGTGTTCCATGTGGGTAAGGGACTTTTTCATCTTGGAGTTTTCATCTAACTAAAAAAGTCCTCTTAATGAGGCAGAACTTCAGCTGTGAGACCCTGGGCCCGTTACCAGCCTCTATAACCTTCATCTGTAAATTGGGCTAACACCATCTTACAGGGTTGCCAAAAGGGTTAAATTAACTGGCATTTATAAAATGGCCAGGCCAATAATGTATGGTCATAGTAGGGGCTCAATAAAAGTTAGCTCCCTTCCCTCCTTCACTTCATTTTGTGTTATAGTCTAAAGAATACTGTCTCAAACCAAAAAATATTTGATTTTATATCATTACAAACTTGGAGTAAAGAAGTAAGACCATGAATCTTGAGAGGTTCATTGAGTCTTCAAAAGAATATAAGGATGACCTATTAAAAACACACTGATTATCAGAACCTGAATAATAAAAAGAGACACCCACAACATAAGGAAGTGGGGCATGACGGGAACTAAATAACTTCAGGTTCTTTAAATACACTGTCATGTAATCATACTGAACAGCCTTATGAAGCAGGTATTCTCAGTATCAATTTACAGACGAGGAAAGCAAAGCTCTAGGAATTTACTTCACCAAAGAAGACATTCAGGCAGCTAACAGACACATTAGGAAATGCTCAAGATCACTAGCCATTAGAGAAAGGAAAATCAAAACTACAATGAGACACCATCTCACCCTGACATTACCAGCACGAATCAAAAAAACAGAAAACAACAAATGCTGGAAAGACTGCAGGGAGCTTGGAACTCTTATACACTGCTGGTACAATCATTTTGGAAGATGATATGGCGCTTCCTTAAAAAGCTAGAAATAGAAATACCATATGATCCAGCAATCCTACTCCTAGGAATATATCCTAGACAAATAAGAACTGTAATACAAATAGGCATATGCACACCTATGTTCACTGCAGTATTATTCACAATAGCAAAAAGATGGAAACAACAACCTAAGTGCCCATCAACAGATGAATGGATAAACAAACCATGGTACATACACACAATGCAGTACTACACAATGATAAACAACAATGATGAATCTGTGAAGCATCTCACAACATGGATGAATCTAGAGGGCAGTATGCTGAGTGAAATAGGTCAATCACAAAAGAACAAGTACTATATGAGACCACTATTATAAAAACTCATGAAAAAGTTTACACAAAGCAAGAAACAATCTTTGATGGTTACAAGGGAGAGGAGGGGAGGAGAGGAGTGGAAAAGGAAAAAACTAACTAGACAATAGATAAGTGGTAACTTTGGTGAAGGGTAAGACAGTACACAATACTGGGGAAGTTAGCATAACTTGACCAAGGCAAGGTCATGGAAGCTTCATAGACACATCCATACTCCATGAGGGACTGAACTACTGGGCTGAGGGCTGGAGATCATGATCTCTTGGGGGACATCTAGCTCAACTGGCATAACATAGTCTATAAAGAAAATATTCTACATCCTACTTTGGTGAGTAGCGTCTGGAGTCTTAAAAGCTTGTGAGTGGCCATCTAAGACACTCCATCGGTACCATCCTGTCTGCAGCAAGGGAGAATGAAGAAAACCAAAGACCCAAGGGAAAGATTAGTCCAAAGGACTAATGGACCACAACTACCACAGCCTCGACCAGACTGAGTCCAGCACAACTAGATGGTTCCCAGCTACCACCATTGACTGCTCTGACAGGGATCACAATAGAGGGTCCTGGACAGAGCTGGAGAAAAGTAGAACAAAACTCTAACTCACAAAAAAAAGACCAGACTTACTCGTCTGACAGAGAATGGAGAAAGCCCGAGAGCATGGCCCCTGGACACCCTTTTAACTCAGTACTGAAGTTACTCCTGAGGTTCACCCTTCGGCAAAGATTAGACAGACCCATAAGACTAAACTGGCACACCAGCTCAGGGGCAAGGTCGAGAAGGCAGGAAGAGATAGGAAATCTGGTAACGAGGAATCCAAGGTCAAGAAGGGTAGAGTGTTGACATTTCGTGGTGTTGGCAACCAACGTCACAAAACAATATGTGTGTTAATTGCTTAATGAGTGTTATGGATTGAATTGTATCCCTGAAAATGTGTGTCAACAGGGCTAGGCCATGATTCCCAGTATTGTGTGATTGTCCACCTTTTTGTGATCTGATGTGATTTTCCTATTTGTTGTAAATCCTGCCTCTATCACGTTAATGAGGCAGGATTAGAGGCAGTTATGTTATTCAGCAGAACTCAATCTACAAGATTAGGTTATGTCTCAAGTCAATCTCTTTAGAGATATAAAAGAGAGACTTGGGGACCTCATGCCACCAAGGAAGCAGCGCCGGGGAGCAAAGTGCATCCTTTGGACCCGAGGTCCCTACACTGAGAAGCTCCTAGACCAGGGGAAGATTGATGACAAGGATCTTTCTCTAGAGCTGACAGAGAGAGAAAGGCTTCCCCTGGAGGTGGTGCCCTGAATTCAGACTTCTAGCCTACTAGACTGTGGGAGAATAAATTTCTGTTGTTAAAGCCATCCACTTGTGGTATTTCTGTTATAGCAGCACTAAATAACTAAGACAATGAAAAACTAATTTGCTCTGTAAACCTTCATTTGAAGTACAAAAAAAAAAAAAAAACTCTGGAAATTTAAATGACTTCCCAAATTCTAATAGCTCCTTAAGTAGCAGAGTCTGGCCTAAAACAGTTGCCTGACTTAGACGACTGTGCTCTTACCACGCTTTCTCTTCCTAATCCTTCCTGTGAGGAGAGTCAACTGTCTCACCCACAGTGAATTCACACTTAAAATCACAACAGGACATACTTTCTCCTTTGTGCATGAAAGTTCACTCTCAGCCTCTGCCAGGAGTCGGTCAGCTTCCCTGAGCTCTGCACGGCGTTTCAGAAGGGTCTTTTCAATGCACTCAATTTCATCTACAATATCTTCATGGTGTTTGAGTGATTTTTCTATTTCTAGTTCAGTAATAAGACTCTCAACATTTCCATCAATGAAGTCCCTTAAAAAAAAAAAATACTGGTACACATTAAAAGATTTTCAATGTAGACAAAGTACACACTTGTAGCCTAACTGGTAAATTGATGCATTATGATTTTCTAATTTATGTAAAAGGCAAGAAAGGCAGCTACATTTGATTATCTTCAAAGTCTATGTTTACTTTTTGTTCAAGTGGGTATACTGTTGACAATAAATATGTAATATATATAATGTATAATGCAGTTGTTTTGTTCTTTTTTTATATAAAAAAACAACAAAGATTATTGTATTGTCAACCACTTGGCGAAGCCAATGTTGATACTTTTATTTAGAGGTATAAAAGTAGAAGAAACCACTACCATAATAACTATCCATTCTCTCAAAAATTATCCTTCAAAGCTCAGCTCAAAGTCTACCCTGAAGACTACCTGATTTTGTGATTTACTGCATTCTTCTAGAGTAAGCTTTGGTCATGGTATTTAACAAATCAAAAAGCATGACACTCAATCCGGTAACTCGAGGCTAATATGACAGACAACAACAACATGACAGAATTATTTGAAGCTGGGACTATCTATGACTGCAAGGCAGAATATGAAGACAGATTCATCAACACAGTAACAGGATCTTTCTCTTTAAATGATGAGAATACTAATTATTTTTATTTTCTTTTTTGAACATTTTTGTCTTATCCAAGTTCCCTAGAATAATCATTTACTACAATTTTATAACCAGAAAATGAAATGGTTATTCTTTATAACCCTGCAAAAACAAACCAACTTCAAAATACAAACAAAACGAAAAGCCCCCTCACATATATACGCACAAAAATTATAGATAAGAGCACCCCCAAGACCTCAAAGATCTAGTCCCAATTTTCTTCTCAGTGTGGACCTTGCTTTTCCCTGTCAGATCTATCAGTTAGTCATTCACGTGTCTGCTTCTAGAAGGCAGTGACCATGTGTTGCTTGCCTCTGTGTCCTCTGCAGTCCCCCCTCATCCCAAGCCTGGCCCAGTCTGGCTTAAATGACAAGAACTGTCATAATTCATCGACCAATGCAGAAGGTGGGCTTCTACATAACTGGTCCAACCAACAGAAACAGAATTCATGAACAAACCTGCACTGTGCCAGGCCTTATGCCACAGGCTGGGACACAGAGAAGGAGGTCCTGCCACTGCCCTCAAGGAGCTCCTGGGCTCCTTATAATATTGTGTGAATAGTGCCATGCCCGAGGGCTAGCCCCGAGTTGTGGGGGCCTGAGAAAAGAAAAGCTTTTTTAAAAGAGGGAATCTCTGATCTTCCTTTTGAAAGACAAGATTGGAGTTAGGTAGGTGGGAAAGAGAAAGGAGAAGACATTTCAGGCAGAGAAGACAGCACATGCAAAGATGTGGAGGCAGGAAAAAAACAGGGTGATTAGGAACACCACAGGAAGGTAAGTAGGGCCAGACCAAACACTGTGTGTGGGAGAGGATTAAAACAAAACAAAAGAACACAGGCAGGGCTGAGATCTTGGAGGGTGGTATATACCCTGATGGGCTGGAGAGCCACATGGGAGGGTAGCATGGCCATATTAGCAGTTAAGTTGAAGGTAGAGTGGAGAGAGGAAAAACTAGACATGGGAGGTCAGTGAGGAAGCTATTACAATGGCCCAGGATAAGACTGACTAAAGGCTAGGGCAGTGGGGATGAAAGAATGGGGCCTATCTGAGAGCTCTTTGTGTATAGAGTCAGTAGGACTTGGTGAAAAACTGGATGCCTCGGGGAGGGAAAGGGAGAGTTGGAAGCATCTGCCATGTTTTTAGGCAGGATAGCTGAGGAGGAGAGAGAGCTATTCCATTATCCAAGAGGGATTACAAGAGGAGCTGATTGATATGACTGGCCAAAAAGATTTATTTAGATCTGCATTGTCCCATATGGTAGTCACCATGTAACTATTAAATTAATTAAAACTAAATTAAAAATTCAGTTCTTCAGTTGTATTAGCCACATTTCAAGTGTCTACCACACACGTGATTAGTGGCTACTGTCCTGGACAATGCAGATTTAGAACATTTCCAAGGCTGCCATAAGTTCTATTAGACAGCACTGATTTTAGACTATCTTAATGAATTAATATCATATTCATCAGAATCACAACAGTAAAATGGCTAATAATCTTACTTTGGCTGTTGATGTTTTTGGATGGTTCTATGTAATTCTTCTACTTCATGCTCTAAGTCCTTCTTCTCTTGCAAAAGACTATCAATATTATGATGCAGTTCTTCTATTTCTTTTTCACACTGTCGCTTAGATATTCTCATCCACCGTTCTTCCCGTCTTTTTGATTTTAAATGCTGCACTATTTCTTCTAATCTAGAAACTTCATTCTCCTGAACAAAGAAAAACAAATGCAATACTGAAACATCACAGGGTACTTCCCCTTGTCTGCTAAAACCTGAAATTAACTGTGGTTAAAGTGGAATCTATAATCTGAAAATGGCGGCAGATTCTAAGGCTTAAGCGTGAAAAGAAAAACTAAGTCAAGCCAATTTTTTCACACATCATAGATAAAACTTGTAGATTCTTTGAGATTTAACTTCTCCATTAGTCCTACTGTGGTTGAAAAACATCCACCAAGCACTTCTTGCAGATAATCTCTGCCTCCAGAGTTGAGAGTCTAGCAGAAACACACAAAGGTCTCTCCCTCCTCTGGGCACATGGGAAGGGAGTTGTCTGAGAAGGGTGCCCAGAGGAAGAGGTGTTTTGTCTAGGTTTTAAAGAATGAATGAAAGGAGAAAGATCTAGGTGAAGAAATAACATGTGCAAATGTAGGGAAGTATAAAAGTGTACCTGGGAAACTATAAACAACAGCTGGGCACTGTTGAAGAGCAAAAGAACCAGCTTAAGTAAGAGATTGTCAATAAATGCTGAGCAGGAGAATTGCTCTAAATACAATGTGCACTGAAAAACTGCAAGATAATATGAGTGACTACCATTTTTAATCTTGGAAATACACACAGTTCCTCTGAAACTAGCCTGACTTATTAAAATGGGGCTGGTGGCTTGGCACTCAGGTGTCTTAGCCCTTTATGTTCCCATCAATCTGCTGTGAGGGGAAGGAAAAAATAAAGAGCTCGAGGCGTCCTGAATTTGAAGGAGGAACTTGGCTGGAATGCATGTTACTTCTTCAGAACTGAAAAGTTAGTAATCTAGTGATTAGAAAGTAATCATTTCTTGAAATGCAGTCTAAGAAAATAATATAAAATATAATAAAAATTTACACACAACTACAGTATTTACAAATAAAAAAATGTACAGCATTAAAAATACTGTTTAAAAACTTGAATTGCTTGTAACATTAAGTGGGAAAAGCAGTATACAAAAACTGCATGTACAAAAAGATAACAACTCTGAAAAGGAACAAGAAATAATAAATAAGTCCCACCATCCAGAGATAATCCTCATCAAAACCTTGCTGTACAGTGTTTATACGTGTGTAAACACATGAACATACATGTGTATTCGTGCACACATACATACACCTATACATATGTCTACAAATACAGATACTAATATGTGACTATACTTACACATACACTATAGCATTTTTAATAGAAAAGTATAAGATTTTTTAAAAATGGTTAATTTCTGGATTGAAAGCATCTCTGTTATAAAAACTGATTTTTGTAGAATGGCCTGGGATCCTAACTTCTGTTCACAATATTATTTTTATAAAAGAATGCTTGTTCAGTTCTAAACCTTAGCCTTACAAACACACTTTTGGGATACAATCCATTCACAAATAGATCACCTTAAACTGTGACCTTATGTGTATAACCTTATTCAGTCACCTTTGGAAGAAGTCGGGATGGGGATCATACATCTTTCCACTTACTAAGTTATGATGTTCTGGGACGTTGCAATGCAGCACGCCTATGGGGATGAGGGGGATTGAGAAGTTGGGGGGTGGAGGTCCACACACGACGGGGGCCCCAGCAGGAGGCGGCCCATAAACAACAGTTCCAGGGGTGAGAGGTCGGCTATTGTTGAGCAAGGGAGGAGGTGGTGCATAAAGGGCCATGCCCTGAGGCACTGGAGAACCATCAGGAAAGACGGTATATATCATGTATCCAGGCGGAGGCACAAATGGAGGTTCCTCCCGGTCATCCAGGTCACTCTCTTCTTGGCTATCTCCTCCACTGTCTTCATCTTCAGAGAAATGAACAGAACAGTGTTTCACCCCACGGTTTACAAGGTAAACAGGTTTAGCAGAGAACAGCAGCATTTTAGGCTAAAATACCAGACATGTGAGAATAAAACTATGAAAAATAGGTCAAAAGTGGTTTTGAAAAGCAGATCAGAACAAGAATTCAAATTATTTTCAGTGGCTGATAATTGAGTTTTTATTATGCATATCTGTTGGTTTGTTTGTCCATTCATTCATTCCTTCATTCAGCACATCACATAAAAGACCAACAGAGATGTGCTGAGAGATCCTACAGTACCCAGCATTTACCAGTATCACGACATATAACTCTCTCTAATGAGATGGCTTGCTTACTTATGTACCCTAGAAGCAGGAACTATGTCTTGTTTATCAGTGAAGACAGAGAACCTAGCACATAGCAGGCACTCAATAAATAATTCCTGAATGAACAGTTTCTTAGAAGATTGTATTCTCACTTTCTCACTTTACAGATTAACTGTCTCAGAGCAACTAAATCATTTGCTTAAAAGATCACATTTCTATTAAATAAAAGAGCCAGGATTCACCCCAGGTCTGACTCTCTCCACATCCAGAACTTTGGAAGATAGACCTGTAAACATATCAATTTAGCACAGCAAAATTAATGCCATGATACAAGGATATATGCTGCCATGCTCCGGGAGTACAGAGCTGCTCAGTCTGCCTGAGTGAGGCAGGGTAGAGGAAGGTGTCACAAATGGAGTGATGTTTGAGGACCTGGGTCTTGCTGAAGGAGAAGTAGGAATAGGATGGGGAAACGAAGGACGAATAAGGCCATTCCAGACAGAGGGTTTAAAACATGGAGGTTTGAGGAACATGGCATGCGGTCGGTTATGGCTGACATGTGGGAGAGTTATAGAGGTGAGACTTTAGACTTGGTTGCTGGCCAAGAATAGATCACAGAGGGTCTCGCAGAGCAAGCTAAGGGGTTTGGACTATGTCTTATGAACTTCAAGGAGCCAATAAAAGGTTATTAAACAGACAAGAGAAATGCAACCTCCCTTATGTGATATAACCTACCTCTATTTGAAAGAGATTTATGTAACCCACTTCTGATGGGAGAATAAACCCAGTATCCTGAGGCAGGTGGAGGTCCACTGCCTTCCTTCCCATCTTGCTGCCCAGGATGTGCTTTTCTAACAGGAGCTGAGGCTGTGCACTTTAGGCCAACACCAGAGTCCTTGGTGGCCTGAGAACTATGGCTAGAAACCTAAAATAAATGACAGCAGAGTACACCGTCTATTACAAATGGAAAGGCTAATTTTGAGAAATGTTAAAAGTCTAGAGCCCACTTCTGATGTGGTGAAGTTAAGAAAGAATTTGGTTTCTTTGCACATATGATAATTCTAATTTTTCACAGACAGAAGCGATTACATGGTCATGTAAACTGCAGCCTTGTACAAAGGTTCAGTTAATTGACATCACCTCTGGACTCAATCAACTGGTAGCATTAGGGAGGCAGTACCGAGAGCAGTGCTATGCGTACAATGGCTGGTGTCCATTAGATTGGTTTGTGAATATGAAGGGCTCAAAACTTGATAAAGGCAACATACTCTAACCGATGTCCATTTATCACTTCAGAAATTATTATTTGATAACATCCATTTCCTACCCTGCCTTTCAGTACAATTTTCTAAAGATACCAAGTCTTGAATCATGTTGAAATGGGAAAAGCACATTATCTGGCTACTTGGTTAATTTTATTCGGCAATCTTCCAGAGTGAGAAATGAAAACAAGTTCTCCATAGGCAATCAAATCCCTGGGTGTCAACCACTCTTCCCCTTGTGCTCATCTTTCCCAGTGGTTTCTCTTCCTTTGCTTTGTCCCTGATGGCCCAGCAACTGAGACAAAGGACACTCCCGTGAACTTCCAGTGGAATCTGGGGGCTTTAATGTCCTGCTGTCCAGGGAGCTTGGCATGAATTTTAAGCTCTACTCTGTTACTCTCCGACTCTTTCCTCCAAACTCTCACCCAAGTCAGGCTTACATGTTTTGCTCTAACCTATCCTGCTTCCACTTCCAGCTCTGGCCATGCCAAGGACGTTGGCTTCTTTTAGATTTCTGGGAGAAAGGTCCTAGATTCTGCTCTTTCGGTTCTGGTTAAATTCAGGTGTCTATTTTTCTGTCTGCGCCTCTGCATATTCTATACCCATTTTTAACAGGCTCTCTGGTCTTGAGTCGCCTTATCCCCTTTATAGCATCCTCATTTAGGGACCCACAACACACCACCTGAGCATGAAAGGTTAATTACCATCTTCCCCGGGAAGGACCTATTTTCATCTCAAATATCAAAAACACTTCAGAACCTCCCAACTTTGTGGCTCTTAATATATAGCTTAGCATATAAATATATGGCTTAGCATATAAATATTTCTGTATGGCTCCTGTTCACAAATTTGGTGATGGGACATTGTCATGCCTTCTTCAAGAAAATTCACTACACACTCCCAGAACCACAGATTTCCTACTTTTGATGATGGTGGTGGCATAAAGTACCAATAGCCTCGTCTTTTGAAAGGATCTGCTATGCTGCTGATATAATCATTCTGATGAGAAACTTCACGACGGAGTTCAGCAATTTCTTCCAAAATATTTTCAAAGCCTCCTTTGCTATCTGTAAATGAAAGTCATCCTATGAAATTGGTATGTAATCACCCACTTCCTTTCTCTCTCAAAATCCAAAATTGATTCCATGACTGCCAATGAATTTTATCAGTTCCTCAAAGCTGACTTTTAGCTTGCTCTTTTGTAATTAGTTTTTGCTAACACTTACAAAGGATAGACACATCCTTCTGTCCTTCAATTATAAAGTGGGGCAGAGAAGGCAAACGAACAGATTTGTAAACACTACTTCTTTCAAAAATATAAATACAAGTTTCTTGTCAGTTTCTTTGTAATCAAGTTTCTCAATATTGCATTTATTATTTATTAAGCTAATTACATAGCTCTGCAAATCAAGCATTAGATTCATTTGCAACAGTTAAACAAAGAAGACAGAAAAACAAACAAGAAGCTTTCATTTTAATTGTCTACAGTAAACACAACAACTGCCAAACCACTACCGAAATCAAAGCCCAATACCTTACCAGCTCCAGTGAGGTCTAGTAAATTCCATAGCCTTGCAATCTCTGTCCTTTGTCTCTCCATTGTCTCATTGAGTTTATCAATTTCTAGCACCTGTGAGTTTGCTACTAAGGTGCCTGCATCTGCTTTCTCCATCTCCATTAGAAACTATTGAAGAATCACATACAAAAAGTTGCCAATAAAGTTTTTCCAAGATGCCCTTATCCTTGCAACTTGATTATAATTCTATGATTTTATTTACGCTTCACCAGCAAGGAAACTGAAATATTTAAACTGCACCGTGCTTGGTATATAGGATCACATAAAATACTGATTGATGATTACACTTTAAAAATTCTTTACAGTGTCACCTGCAGCAGTTTTATCTTTCAGGAACTGAAAAGGACCCAGTAAGGAAAAGCTCTCAGGGTACCAATACTGACCTGATCCTCTTTGTCCCTGAGAAGATTCTGTAGGAGTTCGATCTCTGCTTCTGCTCGGGTCAGATCCCTGGCCGCACGTGCTGCCTTTCTGCTGAACCTCTCAGTTTCCTGCAATTCCTGCTGGGACAGAGGCATGAAAAAGGCATCACTGCCATCACAGGTTGTCCTCGTGATCTCCTTCTCTCAGATTGATTCTTCTCCTTTAATCAGATCACCTGTCTGGCTGTCCCATGGACATGTGGCACTAAGTCTCACCTTCTCATGTGTTGCTCCCATTATACAGAAGCCTTCTCTGCACCCACTATGGGGGCCAAACAGAAAGGGTGCTGCATCAAAAAGAGCAAGGGCTAGTTTTTCCCTCACTGTTCTACTACCTTCCATGACTGGTGTAACTCTCATCATTAGATTTTCTCTCCTGTGATCTACCTTAATCTCATTAACATTTGTATCCTATAAAGCACTGTAGCAGACATGATCTCAGTCAGGAGTCGTAACAGCCCTATGAGGCAACATATTATCATCTGACTGCAGAAGACGAAAAACTTGAAGTTCGGAAGGATTATATTAGAAGCCTTCAAAATCCTTGTCCAGGTGTGTATCGATAGCTACCTCCCTAAGCAGATCACAAATCCCTTCAGGTAGGGACAGTATGTTTCATCTGATGATTCCTTTCAGGACACAACAGAGTACAGAGCCCATGGTGGCACAAAATAAATTCTTAGGGGTTATGATGAGGGAAAAACAATCTTCAGGTCTTAAGAGAAACCAACAACTTTATAGTGGCTTATAAAATAATCAAAGTCTATAACAAGAAATCAATAATAAAGTTGCTATATTTTTTGACAGCAGAATAACTGGTGGAAACTTGTTCTCTACCTGTAGACTCACCTCTGCTCGCTCCTGGTTAATTTTCATAACAGTTCCGTGAAGGGACTTAAGCTGGTCTTTGGCAATGGTGAGCTCAGCTGTGGCTAGCTTATCAGAGGCAGCCACAGCTTTTTTTAGTTTCTTCAATTGTTTATCTAAACCAAGAAACTGCTCCTGGGATCTGGCATCTTCAAGTTTCTTCTAAAAGAAAAGAAACATTAATTAAACAGATGAGTCATCTGGCAGAAGTGAATTAAAAAGAGCCAAATTGTGAGAAAGAAAAGCACTCTGTTCACGTTTTCTCTCAGTGAAGTCTCTGCTAGATGTAAGCTCCATGAGGAGAGGGACTCTGTTCATTGTTGGATGCCCCATACCTAGTACCATGCCTGGTACACAGTAGGTGCTCCATAAATATTCATGAATAAATAATTAAAAATATCTCAAAACTGCACGATAAGCTTGGAATCAAATCAGTCTTCCCAGTCAAGAATCTTAGTGATCATAATTCATTTATTCACTAGACAAACATTTCTTGTCACCTCTGATAGACCAGATACTTGCAATCACTGAGTAAGGCACTGGGCATATGGTGAGAAACAAAACAGTCTTGGTTGCTGCCCTCCAAGTGCTTATAGCTTATGAGAGAGATAATAAACAATCAGATAAATGTAAAATTAAAATTATGACTAGTGCTCTAAATGGACAGAATAGACAACAGCAGAGGAGACCTAGATTAGCGGGAAAGAGAACAGTCAAGGAGAAGAATAGAGAAGGAACATGGTTCAGGTGAAAGAATGGTATGTGGGAAGGCAGGAGGGAAGGAAGAACTTGGCATTTTTGAGGAACTGAAATAACCCTTTCAAGACCCTAATATTTTCTGCTTTGAATTTTTTTTCATGTTTTCATTCATGGAAGCATGCTGAGAAATGGAGTGTGTTTACATTTTTGGTTGGTAATATGGATTTTGAGAATTATTATTTGGGAACCCATGGGTCCCATAAACCTTGAGGGGTTCTTGGGTGCCAGGATTGGTGGGTGCCCATCTGTCCCACCGGTCATGGGTGGCAGAACGCACTGCAACACACACAAAAAAACCAAACCCACCAGGGCTCCCTAACTGTCACAAGGAAACCATAAAGATGCTTACAAGGCTTATCTAGCTGTACGAAAGCCAAAAGAAAAAAATTTTTACCCAATCACACGTCCTTGATGCACTACCTCACATTTAAGGCTGATACCCCAGCTATTTTGCTTCAGTGAATGTTTCTTTCATCTTTCACCATTACACAAATCCCCACTGGAGGGCAGCAAACATTTTTAGTGGGAAAAGTACAGTCCCAAGAAACCTGAGAGCTAGAAAAAGTGGGTGGGATGACCCATGGGTCATGAAACGGATTGGGAGCATAGTAAGAAAATGAGAGAAGCAAAAAGAGGCAAATGATGGAGGGCCTCACAGACTGAAGAATTTTGGTCTTTATCTATGAGGTAACATATTGTCATCTGAACATATTATTACCCTAAGAACAACACGAAACTACTGGGAAACTGACCACAGCCAATTCACATTTTAGCACAAGCATGCTGGCTGTTACGTGGAGCAGAGGCATGAGAAAAAGTGGGGAGATTTGCCAGGTGGCTGCAGCAGTCATCCAGAGTTGGCTAGATGAGGGTGGTGACATGAGAGAAGGTCAAAGTACATATATCCGAGATATATTTTGGAGGCAGACTTAACAGGACTTGAGAGCCGATGGATTCTTAGTAAAGCATGAAGAAAGTCATTTGATGAGACTGGAAGCAGGGAGATGGTAGATGTGAGGAGGGAGAGCACATGAAACAGTGGAGCATGGGAAAACGAGCTCAGCAGAGAAAAGGGTAACACTACCCACTAGAGGTTGGTGTCCAAGAGTTTATAGTGATATCTGTATAACTGCATGGGTGATTTTTTTCTCCAGAAATACTTAGCATGGGTGCAGGTAGATAGCTGCAGTTTTACGAGAGATAAGACATTAGAGAAAAAGGCAAGGGACTTGAGAATATCACAAAAGAATAGCTACAGTTGTAGTCCATGGAATTTAAGTTGGACAAAGAGGAAAGTAAAGATAGGAAGGGCTTAATAGATTAAAAAAAAAAAGGAGGGGTTGCGGGGGGGGAGGCAGCTAATAAACTGGAAGTCTCAATAAGGTTGAAAAATTATTAGAGTGGGGGTGCTGGCAGGACAAGAGGTTATGATCAGGGTGGGATGCTTCAGTTTGTGATTTCAGAGGTGGTGGGTGTGATTTCTGAATCTGACAAGGTCCAGGATGTGAGAATGGGTATAGATGGTTGAGGTGGGATGGAGGAGAAGTCCAAAGAGAAGTGTATTAGAAAGGACAGGAAAATGAGATTTCCCATAGATGTGTCCAACTGGACAATGGGTTTCTAAAGAGACAAACTCAACCCCATAACATCTGTTAAATACCACCTAACTGACTCTAAAGTTACTCCTTACATTCCTAATTCTCTTGTTTCTCATCTACCAGGTCTCTCCTAAGTCAAGTTCACCACTGTGCCAAAAATGCAGTCAGAGGCGCCCATGGATCACATCCCTCTCAGCTGACACCAAACTGGTAGGCCTCACAGGCAGGAGCCCATCAGCACATACTTCTGTGTCTCACCCTCCTAGTCTTCCTCACCTTCTTCTCTAACTCTTGGAGTTGAGCCAGAATTCTCTCCTTCTCTTCATCAGCTTCCTGAAGTTGGAGATCTGTAAGGCCTTGGATTTCCTCCATACTTTTTAGATTTTCTTGCAAATAGTGAATTTCATTCTCTAATTCCTGGATTCTTGCTTCATGTTGCCTCTTATCAAAATTAATCTATGAGGAAATTAAGTTTCGAAGATGATTTTTGCAAAATGTTTCCCAAACTTTTTAGATAATTATTTCATTACAAAAGAATATAACAAAATTTTGGATTAATTAGTTATTGGGGATGGTTTCGTCTTGAATCCTCTCTAGAATCCATTTTAATGTTTGCCAGACCACTAAATTCATTACATAAAAAAAATTAGATTCTGGCACCACACCATACTCCAGCAATGTGGTATTATTTACCTACACGTTATGAACATCTCTCGCTTGTTCCAAAACAAGGAAAACAGTGTCACAAACAAGCCTGACTTTGACATCAGTAACCACATTCAGAGTTGAATTTCAGTCATACCCAGCTTGACTTGTTATGAGTGAAAATAACAAGTTATACTGTATTTACATGAGAAAGGAAGCATTGTAATTTTCTGAAAAACATTAGTATCTGCCAAACACTTCCCTCCAGTTGCCTCTTGCCCTTTTCTTACTCTTGCTTCAAGGGCTCTCTCACAGGCCTGCCTGAACTCTTCTTGTCCATTTGCCAGTTTCTCTTGTTGCAGAGTCATTTCTTCTTGGAGTTGTCTCTCTCTAACTTGTGCTTCCTCTCTTTCCCATTGGGAACGTGCAAGAATTTCATTAAATTGTTTTTGTAAATTGGCAAGGCTTTTCCCTAAGACATCTGAAGGACTGTCGATTCTGGCAAGGTAGAAAACAAAAAGATGGCATAAATGAGCCATTTTAATTTTGATGCTAGATGAAACATGTGTTAACATTAGTGCAAAGTAAAAAGAACCACGTGGCATGGGACTGATGTCAGTCCACAACAATTTACTGAGCAGCTCCTGAGTACAAATCACTGTTTTATCACATGACTATTGCCATCCTGAAAACACAGGCTCATATTAGGCTAACAATGTTTGCTCAAAGGATGAATGTCCATTTCATATATTTAAAACTATCCTTGGTTTTTTTAAACCACCAAATTTGCAAAGATTTTATTTTCCTACCTGATAGGTATCAGGTGTTGTGGATTCCTGAAGACCCATGGAGAGCAGTGAGCCTTGTCTAGGAAAGGAGCCAGCAATCTGACCCCTGGGCTTTTCTTCTTTTTAAAATTTTATTGTGGTAAAAATACATATAACAAAATTCTTGCCATTTTATCCATTTCTAAGTATTCAATTTAGTGATATTAATTGCATTCCCCATGTTGAGCAACATCTCCACTATTTCCAAAAGTTTTTCATCATTCCAAATGGATACTCAGTACCCCTTGAAAATAACTGCCCATTAGCCCCTCCCCCCAGCCCTTGGTAACCACTAATAAACTTTGGTCTCTATGCATTTGCCTATTCTAAGTATTTCCTATAAATGGGATCATACAGTATTTTTCCTTTTGTGTCTGACTTATTTCACTTACTGTAATGTTTTCAAGGTTCATCTACATTGTAGCATACATCAGAACTTCATTTGTCTTTATGACTGAATAATATTCCATTGTATGGTTACTAGACTTTGTTAATCCATTCATCTGTTGAAGGACACTTGGGTTGTTTCTACCTTTTGACTACTATGAATAATGTTGCAATGAATATCAATGTACAAGTATCTGTTTGAGTCCCTACTTTCAAGTCTTTTGAGTATATACCTAGCAGTGGAAATGCTGGGTCATATGGCAACTCTGTTTAACTTTTGAAGGAACTGCCAAACTGTTTTCCACAGAGGTTGTAAGATTTTACAGTCCTCTCAGCAATGGATGAGGGTCTCAATTTCTCCACATCCTCATCAACACTTGTTATTTTCCATTTTTCTGATAATAGCCATCCTGTTGTTGTTTTGTGATTTTGAGTTGATTCTGACTCATAGCAACCCTATATGACAGATTAGAACTGCCCCTTAGGGTTTCCTAGGCTGTAATCTTTATGGGAGCAGATCACCAGGTCGCTCCTCCGGTGAAGCTGCTGATGGGTTTAAACCACCGACCTTTTGGTTAGTCAAGGGCTTAACCACTGTGACACCAGGGCTCCTTGAATAGCCATCCCAGTAGGAGTGAATAGCTATCTCACGGTGGTTTTGTTTAGTATTTCCCTAATAAGGTTAAACATCTTTTCATGTGCTTACTGGCTCGTGTAGCCTGTTAGTCTTGTAGACTAGTTTCTTCTTTGACTCTTTTTTCTCTTTGCTCCAGACAAGTAGAGACCAATCATTGTATCTATTCAAGTCCTTTGCCCATTTTTTAAGTAATATTTTATCATATTTTTGGTTAAAGTTTACAACAAATTAGGTTCTCTTTTAACAATTTATATACATATTGTTCAGTAACATTGGTTACATTTTTCACAATGTGTCAACATTCTCAGTATTTCCATTCTGGTTGTTCAATTTCCATTAATTTAGTTTCCCTGCCTACCCCCCTTACCTTATATTTGCTTTAGGGTAAATACTGAACCGTTTGGTCTCACACAGATGATTTTTTTTAAAGGAGCACAGTACTTACAGGTGACATTGTTTATCTCATGAGCCAATCTGTTATTTAGCTGAAAGGTGACCTCCAGGAGTGGTTTCAGTTTAAAGTCTAAAGGGTGTATCTCAGGGCAACAGTCTTGAGGGTCCCTCTTGGGGGTTCAAACAATCCAGTAAGTCTGGCCTTTAAGATTTTGAGTTTTGTTCTACATCTTTCTCCCACTCTATCCAGAATCATGTATTGTGTCCCTGGTCAGAATGGCCGGTATGGCAGCCAGGCACCATCTAGTTCTTCTGGTCTCAGGTTAGATGAGGCCGCGGTTCATGTGAACTATCAGTCCTACAGGCTGGTTTCTTCTTTGACTCTTTGGTTTCGTGCTTTCTCTTTTGCTCCAGACAAGTGGAGTCCAATCATTGTATCTTACACAGCCACTCGCAAACTTTTAAGAACCCACATACTACTCACCAACCTAGGATGTATAACATAAACCTTATGAACTACGTTATATGAACTGACCAAGTTCTCACCCAAGACTATGGTCCACAGCCTTCAAGCCCAGTAAATCAATCTCGCAAGGTGTTTGGTTATGTCTAGGAAAGTATCTGTTGCTATGCCTGCTATGTGCTTTATTATATATATGAATATATATGCAGCACACACTTACATGTATATACAGATGCCTATAGGTACACCTTGGAATCGACTCGATGGTAACAGGATTTTTTTTTTAATACACATATATGCATACCTATTTACCCATGTAACCACACACATACTTTTGATTACTATTGTTGTTGCAAAACTGTATATGTTCTAGCAGTTACTAAAAATGTCCCTTATTCTTGTGTGCTTCTTAGTGTCATCATTTACCTTGGTCAACTTGTGCACACTTCACCCACATTCAGTATTACCTTTCCCATCACCGAAAATAACAAGTGTTGAGGTCCGGCAAAATGGCGCTCTAGGTAGAAGCACCACGCCGTCCCTCCACAGCAAAGATCCAAAAAACTAAGCCAAACAGAGAATACAACAATCTTGAAACCCTAAAACATCAAATGAAGAGATAAAGAACTCAGCCAAGCACCAAATGGAGAAAACTGACAGACAACGGAGAGCGAGGAGAGATTCATACAGAGGTCCCCTACCAGCTAACGCTGCGCATATCCGCCATCTTGGACACCTATCAGAGACCAGCAAACAGGGGGTACAAGAAAGCCTCACGGAGCTTCCAGCGGGAGACAAAACACCCAGTAATTGGGGATATATGCTTTCCCACCCCCCACCCTTCTTCACCCCGACTCGGCCTCCTCTGCTTCCCGCAGCCACAGTCTCTTGACCAGCAAACAGCGGCTGCTTGGATTCTACACACCTGAACGGGTGGCTCTCTGAGTGCCATTTCTTGGCTGCTGGTGTTGCTTTTCCTCCGCTTCTTTTTATTTCTTCCTTGCCTCTCCCTACCTCCCCCTCCTTTCGCTCGAGTACCTCGCTCCGTGTGCCATCTTTGCTTCTTCCTGAGAGGCTGCAGAGCTCCGGTAATTTGTGATATACGCTTTCCCACTCTCTACCCTTCTTCACCCACACTCGGCCCCCTCTGCTTCCCACGGACACAGTCTCTTGTCCAGAAACACCAGCCGGCACTAGCTGGCTCTCTGAGTGCCATTTGTCAGCTGCTACTGTTGCTTTTTTTTTTTTCTGATTCTTTTGATTTCTTACTTGCCTATCTCCACCTCCCCCACCCTTCGCTCAAGTACCTAACTCCGTGTGCATCTTTGCTTCTTCCTGAGGGCTACAGAGCTCCATCCGAGTGTGGAGCTGCTTCCCGGTTTGGGCAGCTGCACTGGTGGGATCCCGGGGCTTTTGTTTGTTTCTTTTGAATTGTTTGTTTTCTTTTCCTTTTCTTGAGTTGGGAGCCCTTTGTGGCCAGGCTTAGCTGCGTGCCACGGAGACTCCCCTTTGGCTCGCACAGACATGCAGAGGGATCCCTGAGAGCGTATCTTTTAACATTGTTGTTTTTTTTCTATTTCTTTGGGGGCCTTTCTTGTTCTTTTTCATTTTTTTTTAATTTGTTTTGTTTTCTTTTTCCTTTTTCCCTTTTTGTCTTTCTTCATTGCTCAGTTTCTTGTCTCTCTATATTTTCCTTCTCTTTCTGTTCCCTGAATACCTGGCGTTGTATACCTCTACGCCCTCTAGCCAGGCTGTACTGCAACACCTGAGAGTGACTAGCGCAGACCTCATAGCTGCACTGGTGGGATCCCTGGGAACTTTGCGGTTCTTTAACCTTTCTGATTCTTATTTACTCATTCTTTTCTTCTCTTCCTCCTCCCCTTTTCTGTTTTTCTCCATTTCATAGTCTCTCATCTCTCCACTCCAACGGCAAGCTCCCCTAGCATTCGTTTTTGTTTGTTGGTATGTTTTTGGCTACTCTTCCTCACTCCTCTCTCCCATATCCATCTTAGCTCCACACATAACAATCTCCCCGCTGCATCCTGCCTACCTGCACTGTGTGCTTGACATCACACCACCAAGCAGCACAGGCACGGCCTACTGGAACCTGCCCTGCACTGATTACTGACCTGCTCTGGTAGCTGTAGTGCCACAAACAACCCGTCCCAGTAACTCCCTTCAGATAGACCTGTCCTGCCATTCCATATCTGAGTGACTGGACCATGCCAATTGGAGACGGAGGCGAAAAGTATTGTGCCTACAGACGAGCAAACAACAAAGAACACACAGTCTTCCTGCTCAGACATAGTCAAATTTTTTTAAAAAAGGGACAAACCTACAATCAATAAATGAGAAAAATAACTACTAAATGCTCCAAAGACAGCAGACAATATCAAAACATTTACAAAAACAGAACATGATGGTTCCAGTAGGCGTCCAAAATAAAACACCAGATGACTCTCCAGCGGAAGAAAATGCACTAGAACTACCTGATAGGGAATGCAAATCTCTAATACTCAGAATTCTCCAAGAGCTGAGGCAAAAACCTGACAAACATAAGGAAAAAACAGACAAATTAATGGAAAACACAGACAAAAAACTGGAAGAATTCAGGAAAATAATGCAGGAACAAAATGCCAAAATAAATTCACAACTAGAAATTATACA